TTATTCATAATTATAATTAACAAAAAGTTTATTAAAATATAATAATAAAATAATATAATTTGAATATAACAAAAAATTTGCTTATATAAACTAAGTTATTTGTTATCTTCTGATTCTTTTTCCTCTTCTTTCTCTTCTATCAATTCTTTTTCTTTTTCTTTAATTGATTTTATTCTGGATAACCTTCTTAGTGCCCTTTTTTTCCCTTTTTTTTCAGTTAATTTTTTCTTGCCAATTTTTGTATCTTCTACTACTTTCACCTTAGCAACTGTCTCCCTGATTTCATCCATTATTGTGCTTTCTTTGATTTGATGCTTCTTCGAATATATTGATGATTTTTTAGCAACCTTTCATTTTTTATGTTTTTCTACTGATTCTTCAGCTTTTCCTTCTGAATAGTAAGCTCAATTTGGCAAATCATTGGGTGATATTACATTATAATAAGTTGCAATCTCATAAGTTCTCTTATAAGTTATTTTTGTATATTGAATTTCCATTGAATATTTGTTCAAAACTCCTCTTAACAAATTAGCAGTTATGGAACATGTCTTATACAGGAGTTTTGGATTGATGTTCATATAATAAATCGAATGTCGATCATTTGAATTTTATATGAAAAATTTGTCTTCGCAAATGGTTTCTCATATGACAACCTTAATTTCATAAAACTATTACCCTTTTACAAATTAAGAAAAAAATATGTGTAAGATGTTTCTCTATTAAATTATATAAGTCTCTACTTTTAATCTCTTTTAGTTCGAAGTTAATCTTTGAGTAAAGGTTGTATACTTTAACACCTATAAAATGCTATATTTATAGTTACCATTTCATTTCAATAGCCTCCATTTCAGCAACCCGCTTCCCTAAAACAAGCTTTTTAATCAATCTTTTTATTGTTATAGCAAGATTACTCAAGGTTTGATTTAAGTGTTTTGACGCTATTCTGCTTTATGTATAAAAACTCTTACTACTAGATCTAACATTATACTTCTAACTTGTTACATTGTAAGTAAAGGTAATCACATTACTGCATTACTTCAAAATGGACACGATATACTTTGTTTCAGGATTTTCCTGAAATAACATGTACCTCATATAACGTAGCAAATTCATAATACTATAATAACAGTCGTAACTTGGAAATTAGTGCTTTATTTTGAATAATATGCACGAGAGTATTCAAGAAGAGGTAAAATAACATAGTATCTCCCATTGTATTAAAAAAATGGTGGCAATTAAAGAAGTCGATATTGTAGATTGTATTATAGCAAACATATTTTTTAACAAGGTAAATAATTTATTATATATATAGTAGTAATATGAAATTGATGGTTAATATAAAACAAAACATTTATTATTCAATTAGCTTAAGTTACTTCTAGACTTCCGCTATTGTATAATATGCGCAAGCTTTTTTTTTATTAGATACAGTCAGGTCTCTCTAAATGCATTTTCTCTAAATGCATAGTCCTCTCTAAATGCATTATTTTGCTTGGCCCAACTTATAGATTTTTTTACCTTCCTAAGTTCTCTCTCATCCCATTTTCATCCTAGCATATATTCATGTAATAAGTATTTTCAAGTTTGACAATAAAACTCAGAAAATAAAATATGGAAACCGTAGCACAACACTTTCAATATACTGGAGAACATGTTAGTGGTTTTGTCAAATATATATCATCCTTATCAAATAATGGTAAGAAATATCAAAGTTTGATGGAATCGACCCTCAATACATCTTTAGTTAATAGTCCTTACACTCTCGAGAGGATAAACATAGATCCTAGAGATTTTAACACCCCTGACAATTGGATTCCTCGTTATCGAGAGTTGATTAGATTGATGGAAAAACATCTATTCAATTCTGAGCCTTCGTTATCAATGCTGATGCAAAGTTTTATTACCCCTACACTATTGCACTATGTGAGGAATCATGAATCGGTACCTAAACTTTATTGGGATATATATTGTCTGGTTGTTGATGGATAAGTATGAATCATTTCTTTGATCTCCCATTTTTTATGATCCATAGATATGTTAGTTAACTGGCTATATGTCTCAAAAAAGTTGATCACATAATATTTAACCATAATCAATACATTTCTGCATAGACTTATAAAAAATCCTTTAAGCCTTTCTATGAATAATATCATCAAACTTCTGTGCAAGGAATTCCCAATGACCATGGTATGTGTTAGGAATAGGAGAAAGAAGCAAAACATGATAAAACAATCCATCAGATTCAATTGGGGCTCTGCAGCTTGTAGTACCGCAATGTGGAAAGGGGTTTTGCAATCCTTCTCTAAATATAAAATTTTCATATAGGCTTATCAGCTATGCATTAAGAGAGATCTGACTGTAATTGTATTATATCCTGGATCTTTTTTCAGTGCATTATAATATTAATTTTATTCTTAGAAAGCAGGGTTTCAAAATATGGACAAGCAAAAATAGAATTATTGATGATTGCCTAAACTTATGAAATTTTATTACGATAAGTAGAATTACAATAAAAAAATAATACAGGCTAAAAAAACTACATCGCACTCAGTTTATTCTTTTGCAAAACCAAGAAAAGTATTAAATATAAGTTTTTTCTTTTTATTAATTAGTATCAAAATTTGAAAGAATGCATAAAAGTGATTGTATAATCAATTAATTGTTACTAGTAAGTTTCACCTGATCAAAATTTGAAATATAAATAGCCTCATTATTCAAGCATCGGTTTTTTCCAATTCCCTTTTTAATTAAATATAATACAAGAGTAAAATTGCTTAGCTTCAAAATAGTGGATCCTAAGTTTGTTTTACTTACGGATTTTGAAGAATTTAATACCTTTGAAGAAAATGGCAAAGAGACTTTTACCATCAATCAAATTAATCTTGAAAATGCCCGAACTTTAATCAATAACGATAATGAAAGTAAAGTAAATGACAATGATAAAAATGAAGTAAAGGATGATAATGAAAATGAAGAAACTGACTGGGATAAGACTGAATCTAATCTGTATGAAAGAGATATAACAATTCCAGAAATCTCTTTGCAAATCTTGGGTATAACACCATATGTAGTTATTGATATAATTCAGGGCAAGATAAAACATTATAATAAAACAAGAAATCTACGGCGATTGAGACAAATGGTAGGAACATGGGAAATAGATGTAGACATAGTCAAAGATATTAACAAAAAATGCAATGATGCAACAAATATACAGCAACTAAGACATATGATGGATATAGACACAGATGAAGAAAATAGTCTTTCTCGACTTGGTGTATGCTATACCCATTTTATTTTTGATCAAAATCAACTTCATGAACCAGGCCTAAAAAAATCTCATCCGGTCAATCAAAGCATTGTTCATTTTCGTATTTGCCTATTTTGTAATAGAAAAAAATGTTTCTTCAGTCGGGATGATATTTGCACAAAGCATTCATGGAACATTAATAGGTGTAATATTCAAGTACCTTGTATTGGCATTCATGATTGTTCTGCATTTTTCAAAGGACATATTGCAAAAAAATCATATTCAGGTTACCGTGCTCATTATATATACACTGAATACTTTTAGCAACATGGAGGGCATCTATATGAAAGATTAGATAAAAGAATCATACCACCATCTTGTACCGAGCTTGGAAAACACCATAATGATATAAATGATGCTTTAAGGCTTATTGAAAAATGGTTAATAATGGTATCAGAATCAGATAGTCAAGAACTACAAAAAATACTTTTATCCCAGATATCTTCAACTATTTTTAATAATATAAAAAATGAAAACTCATCTGAGCTTCCAAATAAATTAATTATTAGAACAATGATGAGATTAAAGAGCATTAAAATAAATAGGTTGGCAAATAAAAAGTCTCATATAACTCAAGAAAAGGTTTCAGCAATGGGAAAAAGATTAGGGAAAGAAATTTTATACTCACATTCTAAAATTAAAAAAAATATCAGTCAGTTAGAAAACCCAAGCTTATATGACAACTATATCAATGCATTACCTATCGTCATTCACAGCTTTTTTCAAGCCCTTCTTATGGTACTACAATAATATAAACTAATAACCATCAATATTAAAAGGCGTCAACATGAAATTCCACTAAATCGCTTAATGAAAGTCAAATAATAAAAACCACCACATTTTTGACTTCCATGTTACTTACTATTGCTTTTTTCAGAGTAAAAATCTGGCTTTCATATATAATGTCATTACTATGTCAAAATCCGAAATCGCTACCATATCTATGAAAAATTCTTCATTTAACATACATTGTATCACACACTAAATGACATGAAAATCGTTTTGAAAGATTAAGAATACAAAATATAGATCCTAAAAAGAATTTACTTAACAAGCCAAACATTTGGAATTTAGCAGTAATCGACAATATCGACTTTAAAGCTTCCACATTCTCCTATGAAAATATTTTTGATATTACATGACAAACTTCACATGTGATATTATGAATGGTGTTTCAATTTTCTCTTCCTACCTCATATAAATATCTAACTGAGAATTACAATTTCACTAACCAGCCATTGTTTGGGGAGTCTTCGACCATTGAAAATTTTTTAATGTTATATAAGTCAACTTTAAATATATTGTTAGAGACTTATATAAATAAATTTGAGATGGAAGATGTATTTTCTAAAATCACTGAACAAGTATCTATAGGTTGTAATATTCCATCACCAAATATTGTTATATTAGAACCTGATGATCCACCAAATTGTAATGAAAATGTTTATGTTGCATATGAAATGTATCATGATGACTTACCTTGTGACAACAATTGTAATCTTTATATAGCATGTAACCAGACAATATTTGAAAGATTAATCTCTTATAAAGAGATCCACGATGATGTTAGACTTCTTCTAGGACAGTGGCACATATCTAAAGATATATGCTCTACCTTAATTACAATATTTTTTGGATATGGAATCTTCAACCTTGTAGCAATCCTTGGAGTGCAATATCTAGATAAATTTAAATATGTAATAGATTATTGTACAACAACTTGTGTTTTGGAATTAATTTGGGTTGCAGTTGGAATTGCATTGTGTCAGTACATGAAAAATAAAGGAAAGACTATGGACTATATTTTAAATAGTAATAATTACCTAGCAAAAGTGTGGTACCTCTTCTTTCATTGGACAGGATATTTTATAGGTCATAAAATCGGAATTAGAAGAGGCAATTATAGAATGCAAATAGCAAATTTGGCTGCATTCGCACCTTTATTTCCAGCAGCTGGGAAGTTTAAATATGCAAGCTCAGTAGCATATTTCTTAACTCAGGTTTATGACAATTTACAACTACAAAAATTGTTACAAATAGTTTGTTCAGTAAACCTTACAAGTGAAGGACATTATTTTGCTTTTGATAAAGCACTTGAAACTTATGGTATAAAGTTTATTAAGCAAAATATAATGGGTAATCTTGCCGATCAACAAACCATAATGTTGAAGATTAGAGCTGCACAGAATGAGAAAAATCGGTTGACAATGCTTCTTGTAGAATATATCGATGATGTCGTGATAAGCCAAAATTCCCGTGCAATCAAGTCACGTAAAGATTCACTTTGGTCCTTATCTACAAAATTATTGTCTGCTTTTAATCAATCAGATCCAGCAACACATTTTTTATTTGAAGATGCACCGGAAATCAGCGAGGAGGGTTTTAAAAATATTCTTACTTTTTATGAGTCTGGATTATCACAGTTTAAACAGGTACTTGCACAGGATGTGTACAAGACTGAAGCTTCAACTCTTGGATGTCATTCGCGAAGTATAAATGCATATACTTATACTAAACTTGAGAATATAAAAAAGCAAAAAAATATCCAAATAAGTAATTTTACACAAGTTCAAGAAAGTACTTCATCACATCAAATATTATTACCTTCTGAAATTAATTGTTCAAGACAAACCCATCGCACTATCATAGAAGCAGAGAAAAATATACTTCTTTAATTATTTAAGATTGGAGAAAAAATGCCTGATGCCATAATTCCAAAAGTTACATTAGAACTTCAAACTATATCTTCAAATTGGATTAAGGAAAGAATTAAGCTATATATAAAAATAATCAACATAAATATTCTTAATAAATCAAAAAAAAATAAAATAAAATTGTTTCTTAATAATTAAAATACGATATATTGAGTTCAGTTAATAAAGATTATAATTATTATTCACTTTTTAGTTATAATTATATTTTGAATTTTTATTTAATCTTTGTAATAAAGCTAGTTACATTAGTTAAATCTAGAAAAAAAAAATAAAAGCGAAAATACTTTTGAATTAATACCTTGATCTATCTTATTAAAAGATATCCTTTTGATAAATTTTTATAATCTACAAGTAAAGTGTCCTTACTTCAATAATGAGTTTTGTAAAGCTCTTTATTTATTGCTACTATTAGAGCAAAGCTGGTTTTAATCTGTCGTATTTTAAAGTAGATCTTACCATTTAGATTAAAAAATTGTAATCTTTAGGTCTTATTTTATTTTTTATAAAATAAAATAATAAAGGTATTTTTGTTACAAAATGAAAGCTTAAAACTTGAAGAATAAAGTTTCTCTAAGATCAAAAATATTGTTTGTTATTAATTATTTGATATACTGTATATCAAAAAAATATTAAGACGATTTATGTTATATGATAATAAATTACTAGTAAAATCAATGTGATGGACATGTCCCATGACTATTAGCTAACTATATAATAAATAAATATTTGGTATATAAATATTTGGTAAACAAATATTTAACTTTAATGATATTTAAATACCTCATAAGAATACCAACTATAATCATATATAACTACTTTTCTTTTATTGCTTTCTAAATCAGTTTCACTTTCTTCAGGTAAATAGACCTTCATTTCTTTAAAGACATTAAGCAATTTATTCCAATATTTTGCAATTTCTTTAGACTTTTTACTAATTAATGATTTTGTACTTTTAATTCTTTGGC